TCAATGTTCCAAGTTATCCCATTATTGGTTCATCTCAGGCAGTTAGTTTCAGTAATCCAAAAATATCCAAGGGCATAGCCCTTCCAAGCAAGCAGTCAAGGTGGATGCCAATAGCACAAACAGAGCTTTGTAACCACTGACATGCTTCGGTACCAAGAGGTTACACAGTGTTCCCTCTAAGCTGAGTTAGTGTGAGCTAGCTCACCGTTTTTCAGCCACCGGCTCACACATTTTTGTCTCCGCTCAGGAAGGAGGGCTCCAGAGCAAACTAATTTAGGCAGTAGCCAAATCACTCGCTCACAGCTTTTATGCCAGTAGCTCACAAAGTAGAATTTTTGCTCACAAGCCTCCATAGCTTAGAGGGAACATTAGTTATAAAGCCAGCCATATAGCAACGGCTAACTAGATTTATAGAGTGGATCTCTGATTGACCTCAGGCCTGTTAGGCCAATCAGAAACCAGAGAGATGATGTTTGCACCCCCAGTCGGAATAACGAGATAGACAACAGTTTGCATCAAACAAGGGCCACTTTGTTAACTATAAAACAGTTTATTAACCAAACAACGGCAAGGGAGCATTTTTCTAAGTAGCGGAACAGACAAGGCAGGTGTCAGGATGACCAGCCTCCTTGTCTAATATGTGGGCGAGCCACCAACCCCGGTCTTGAGCCATTAATCTGGCTTGCGACCAGCAGCCCAGCCACTGGTAGCCTCCCAGGAGCGCCTACCCCTGAAACCATACAGCTTGCAGAGAGGAGCTTCCGCAAGAGGTTCCCAGAGGGAATCATCATTCACCACCCTGGGCCTTAATAACCCGCAGGCCATTCCTGAAGACCCCCCAGTTCCCAAAACAAGGAACGGCTTAAGGTGCTCACAATTTTCCGCTTCCTTATCCCTGCACTATTCTGCCACTCGCAAAGTCAAGCCTCTGCTTTGGCTGATGTGGCCACCTAACAACCTAACGCAGCCCTGATCCCTTGCCGAATGTCCTCCAAAAATAACTTGTTGCCCTTGTTTGACAAGTGAATCCCATCCTTCCTATAGAGGTCAGTCTTTCCGACCCCTATTCCAGGGTGTGGTAAATATTGACCCAGACTACCTTCCATAACTTTCCGGATCTGTCTGTTAACCTTGCGATGAGCCAAGTCGATGCATCTGGGATCCCCCAAGTTGCACCATACATGCCGTGGTAAAATTGTGGACCAAATTACTTGCACCCTGGGCCATCTTGCCCATATCAGTTTCAGGTCTTCTGTGGCCTGAATAACCAGGGCCTTGCCTTTCATCAGGCCAAGATCATTGCCACCCAGGTGCACCAGTAAAATATCAGGAGGCGGCCCACGCCATTCCTCAAACAATAGGGGGAGTAACCTGGGCCAATGCATGCCCCTCCTTCCCCACCATTCAACCAAAGCCAACTCACTCAGACTTAACTGAGAACCAAACATCGTCCTCTTGGCCTGATGAGCGGCCCAAAAAATCATACTGTGGCCGCAGATAGTGACTCTCCTCCATGCCTGCCGGCCCACAGCAAATGAAAAAGAACTACTTTAGAAAGTGTTCCACTCAAAACTTGCATTGCCTTACATACCCCTTAAAACTATGGGATCTCCATCGTCCAATGCCTTGTATGTCTTCCCCCGAATACCCCATGGCAGCAGCCATGGAAGCAGCTCCAATTCTAAATGAATGGGTCCCGAAAAGGAACCCGCCGAGATCCAATTGATTAAGCGCTCTCTGCGTCAGTGTCCAAAATTGAAATTTTGTGAGAGGGGACGCATCCCTATGCTGAAACAGTGTACCGTCCCTCGACCCCCTGAAACTCAGGTAATGGCGTAACGCCACCACCGGGCATAATTCAGCTTCAGAACAATGACCCAATTCTATTACTGAACCCTTACCCCCACCTGGGCCTTGGTTGGGTCTTGGTCGGGTTGGTTCGGGGTTGGGGCTCCCTCTCCCGATCTTCGACGGGGTGCCTTTGGTACCAGCTCTGAGGGTTAGGAGTTTGGGGGTGCTCCTGGACTCCTCTCTAACAATGGAGGCCCAGGTAGCAGCCACTGTCAAGTCAGCCTTTTACCATCTGCGGCTGGCAAGGCAGTTGGCTCCCTACCTTGACCACGATGACTTGGCCACGGTGATCCATGTGACGGTCACCTCGAGGCTAGACTACTGTAACACTCTTTGTCACAGATCCGGAAGCCGCAGCTGGTGCAGAATGCAGCAGCCAGGCTGTTGATGGGTCTCTCTAGGCGGGACCACATCCAGCTTGCGCTGAAGGCGCTGCACTGGCTGCCAATAGCGTACCGAGTCTGCTTCAAAGTGCTGGTTCTTACCTATAAAGCCCTACATGGCCAGGGTCCAGCTTACCTAAGGGACCGCCTTTCCCCATATGTTCCCCCAAGGGCACTACGGTCTGGGGCAAAACATCTTTTGGCTGTACCAGCACCCAGAGAGGTTAAATATGCTGCTACAAGGGCCAGGGCTTTTTCAGTGGCAGCTCCTATCTGGCGGAATGAGCTCCTGGAGGAGACCAGGGCCATGCGGGACCTGATGCAATTCCACAAGGCCTGCAAGATGGAGCTCTTCCGCCAGGCTTTTGAGTAGGAGCTGCCACTGTCACTATACCACCACCGCATTGCCATTGGCAATGCGAACTGTCCTGGGAACAAAGAACCGACGTGGGAAGACTGATTAAGAATGAGACAGTAGTACCACCTGAAACATTGTTATCAGAGCCCCTGCCTTGGATGTACTATGTGAGCACTGATTTTAGATGTAACTTGACATTTGATTGTTTTACTGATTTTACTGTTTGTATGGCATTGCCTCTTGTTAGCCACCCTGAGCCCACAGTAGAAGGGCGGGATATAAGTTTAATGAATAAATAAATATTCTTGGTTTATAGGGCAATGCTAAGCACTTCTAATTTCATTAAACTGAAGTACACTTTGTATTTAACAATGGGCTCTTGACTTCACAATTCATCCACTTATGAAGGGCACCCACATACATAAATCGCAACTTTCCCCTTCAAACTGGACATGGGTGGCCATAGGAAAAGAAGCAGCCCTGTCTAATGTGTGTTTTGAAGGCAAAAAAGCTGTTGTTCCTACACACATTAGAAAGCCACAAGGATATATTTTGTAAGCAGGAATTTCTTCCTGGGTCCCAGATAGATCACACACAACCCTGCAAATTAGGCTGTTAGAATTCTAACCTACCAACGGCGTAACAAAACACATGTTAGCCTAGTATGACACAGAATGCAAAAAAAACAAAAACAAAAAACCCTGACACTTCTATTCCAGCACCATGAACAGCTCTTTTGTAGCTGGCATAATGTTCAAGATTTTTATCCATGGACTAGACTGTTATGCGGTGATGCTTAGTGATTAAAGCTGAATGTGATAAAAGAGAAGAAACTGCCAGTTTATGAAAAAGGAATCAGCCAGGGCTGCTGTTGTATTTTAAAACTGGTGAGAATTGGCATTATTTGATGTGTGTAATTTGACTAGTAAAGTTCCAGTCTTCTAACCCTTCTGGTATAAGATCTAGCATTTCAAGGGAGATCAGACATTCAGGCTATATGCTAAATATTATGAACTTTTATGCATAATATAACGATCTTTACTAAATCAGTATTTTAGGCTGTGACTTTGTTTCCAGTAGATATTGTTACAATTCATAGTAAAAGTTGCACGGAAATATTATCTGTTTTATTGCTCCTACAGCTTTGAAAAGTAAACGTTTCATATACGTATTTCTTTAGCAATGATTTTTTTCTTGTGTTCTCAGAAGCTTTGTTGTTGTTCAGTCGCACAGTTCAGTCCGACTCTTCACAACCCCATGGACCAGATCACGCCAGGCCCTCCGGTCTTCCGAAGTTTGCTTACATTTAAAATACTGTCTTTTGTTTTCCCTCACAGATTCCCATCAAAAGAAGAGCCACATACACCTTAATTTACCTTTTAAAGATGAATGGAGATCTTGAACTTCACTGTCTGTTTCTGCCCTTAGTCTCAATAACTGCAATGAAAGAAAAATGAAGAAGAAGAAGAAGAAGAAGAAGAGGAAGAGGAGGAGGAGGAGGGGATTGGATTTATACTCCTCCCTTCCCTACCCAAAGGAGTCTCAGAGTGGCTTACAAACTCCTTCCCCTCCCCACAACAGACACCCTGTGAGGTAGGTGGGGCTGAGAAAGCTCTGACAGAAACTGCTCTTTTTCAAGAACAGCTGTGCCAGAACTGTGGCTTGCCCAAGGTCACCCAGCAGGTGCAAGTGGAGGAGTGGGAAATCAAACCCAGTTCTCCCAGATTAGAGTCTGTGCACTTAACCACTACACCAAACTGGCTCTCAAGAGGAGATACAGATGTTAAGATCACAAGCATATGGGTACAGTTGTACAGCTCCCCATACTTTATATAAGTCAGAGACAACTATGTATTTCAGCCCCAATATAAATGCTAAAAATTATGCCGGGGCTATCATTCTTGCTGTTCCCCATCCCTAGTCATAATTCATAAAAAATAATTGAAAACCTGCTTGAAAAAATCAAGATAGTAGTCCTACCCTACAGTGTTTACAAAACACATACCAAGTCCCCAACTCCTGGAGGGTTAAATTCAGAGCCCTCTTCCATTCTTTCACACAATCACAATACCTTGTTATTCTTCTGATATTAGGACAAGCACCTCTTGTACACATTTATCTGACCTACATTTTATCATCAGATTGCACGGGTTACATTTTTTTGTTTCATCCTGTAGTTCAGACATAAAGAAAATTGAAATCACTGTCTCCTCTCGGCCACATGGTGGAGCACTGCTGAAAGAAATCCTGTTAACTCATTGGGATTAGCATTCACCTAGTTTCAAATCATTACATTAAATAAAGAGAAGAGAAATAACATAGAGGAGGCTTTTTGTCTTGTATGTGTTCCTGTGACATTCTCCATTGCAATACTTAGCTGGAGGAGACCTGGAAAGAGCCCGACTGAGATGTTCAGTCCCAGTTGCAGCAGTGCTAACAGTATCTGGTGTAGCAGCAGCAGTAGTGCTCACCGATGTGGGCAAGAGCATGCTCTGAGTCCCACCGGCCACCTAATCGCAGCTGTCTGCCTTGGGATCATTGGGACTTTGGGCTTCCTGAACAATCTTCTAGTCCTGATACTTTTCTGCTGGAATAAAGTGCTGCGTTCTCCCATTAACTGGCTACTGATAAACATTTCAGTGAGTGACCTGATGGTGTGCATTCTGGGCACCCCTTTCAGCTTTGCAGCCAGCACACAGGGGAAATGGCTCATTGGGCCAGCTGGCTGTGTGTGGTATGGCTTTGTCAATTCCTTGTTTGGTAAGTACCACGGTTGCTGTTCTGCTGTGTCTAGCATGCTGTTTCTCTGCTTCTGTCCGGCTCATAGCCTTTCTTGAGCTACTTCACTCATTTTCTCCCGTGCAGTACTGTCCACTCTGGGTATTTTCTTTAGAAAGACGGGCACTCTTTTGGAAGGTAGTTTTATGTAGCTTTGCTTTCCTTACAGCATTCCTTAGGCACTAAGGAATAACGATAGTCTCTCTCTCACAGCAAGACTGCATGAGTCTCAAGAGTGTCTCTTGGTAAGTATAACTGCTGTAGTAGTACAACTATTGGGACTTCAGGGAAGTGGTTAGAATAGAAGATGAGTTTCCTTATGTGAGAATCTGGCACTATTTGGTAAATATTATGGGACTTTTTAGTGGGCAGATTAAATTTGGTCTGACTGGGTGAATAACCAAAAGACAGAAAGTTTTTACTCTGGGATTGTGTATATAATGAATAAGTGGGAAAAGAACAGAAGGACATTGCCAAGGCCCCTGTGGCCGTCGCGGCGGGACTGGCGTGACCCGCGCTGACGCCACCACGAGCCCCAGAGGGCGAAGACCCTTTGGAGAACAGTTCCGAAGGGGTAGAGACAGTTGGCAAGCCAGAGAAAGGCTCAGGAGAAGGAGGGCTATTCCAGGATGTGCAGAGAACAGGAGGGAGGGCGCGGAGGCAGGGGAGCCAGGAGAGATGGGGCTTACCCAAGCTGACAGGAGCCGACGCACTCATTCGGTTGCACGTGGAATCCCGGGATTCCCCGGAAATGGCCACACCCTTGGAGACGCCCAGGCAGCCCAACCAGGGGGGTGGGACAGGAAGAAGTGGCAGGGAGCCTGCCCTATCAGAAGCCAGGGAGGAAAAGGGGAGGACTTTCCCCGGGTGGAGGGATATAAAAAGGGGGAAGCCTGTAGAGCCGAGGAGGATGTTGGAGGTGACGGGCTTAGGTACAGAGAGAGCGAGGGTTACTAAAGCAGCTGTCAACCCCGAGGAGTGGTGGCTAGGAGTGACGCAACTCTCTCCCCACTTCAAGTTTGAGGCTCTGGCTTCCCCCAAGGGATCAACGCCGAAACGGCTGAAGCTCCTCCCACACCAGGGGATGGCGCGCGGCGTGACAGACATGAATGTGGTTAAAAATGGTCAAGTGTGTTTAGCTCAGGCAAAGAATGATATAGGATAGAGAACAATGTTCAGTATGACCGTATCCATGAAGCAAATATAGGATGTGTGCTAGGGGTTGAGATTCATGTCTGGGAAATTGCAACTAATACTAGTAATCCTCAGGAAATTGTGCAAATACAGCTTTGGATTTCTTGCAAATAAAGATAAATTAACCATAGATGGGAAATATTGGAATTATAATAATATAAAATTGGCTTTATAAATATGTAGAATACTGTGTGCAATTTTGGTCACTGTATCTGAAAAGGGATATTGCAGAGCCAGATCAAGTACAGAAGACAGCAACCGAGATGTCCTGTGAGGAAGGCCCTGAAGCATCTGTGACTTTTCAGTTTAGAAAAAAACTGATAGAGGTTATATATGGTATAGAAAGAGTGGACAGAGAGAACTTTTTCCCCCTCTCCCCAAATACTAGAACTCAAGGGCATCCAATGAAGCTGGTAGGCAGTAGATTCATGGATGGAAATTATTCTTTATACGAGTAAGCTGAGACAGGAAATGTTAGGTGTCTCCTCTTAGAATCTGGCCTGATGTGAAATTGCCCCAGTTTTTGCCACAGTGTTCTTGGAACTCTCACTATAATTTCCCCTCCCATAGTGCAGCTCAGCAGGGGAGGGAGAACATTATGGACTTCTCAAGCAAATGCTGGAGTAATAGGCTGAGATGATCTAGGAGGTCTCCAGTTTGATCTCACCTTGAACTTGCTTATCAGGCAAGCCACTCTTTAACCTCAGGCAAGCCACTCTTTTAACCTCAGGCCTCTATCTACAATGTGGAGATAACGCTGGCTTACCTTACTGAGGTCCCTGCCACACGGCAGAAAAAGCAACAGGCGAAGTGCGGCTAATCAGAGCCGCACCAAAATAGAGACGCCGCGGCGGGATCCCATGGATCCCCTGAGCCGCGGCACCATTGCTCCCCGGCACGATCAGATGCTGGGGAGGAAGCCACGGTCGGGAGGGGGAGGCTGCCAAACTGCGCATGTGTGAGCATGCGCAGTTCGGCCAGGAGTCGGGGATGCGCCGGCGGAAGGACGTGCCGGCGATCCCACGGCCGTTCTTGATGCGGCCATGCTGGAAGAACCACCTCGGTAGGTGGTTTATTTTTGCTGCGGCGTTTTGGGCGGAAGGGCCGGATCGGGGACGGGTGCGCAACACTTCCCAGATGTTGCGGTGGGATCGCGCCCGTTTGCTGCGCCCCCGATCCGTCCCTCTCCTGGCCCAAAACCTCTCGTGTGAGCGGGGCCTGAGTAAGGATTACAACAAGATTTTGTGTGTAGAGCATGTTGAACTCCTGCTAACTGTTATTATGGGTTCTCATTTCCCCATGAACATCCCTGGAAAATGCCACAAGCTGGTCCTCAGTTGCTGTTATATGGTGGTTATGGAGGGACTCCTGGGAACAGGTCTTGGGTGAACTACAAACTAGGGTTTTTCCAGGCTATCAAAATGTGCAGTGCTGTATTTAAATTACAAATTCTATTTTAGGCTTTTTCCTTACAAATTAGGTGTTAGGACATGTGTTGTTCTGGGCCCAAGTCATGAAAAATGATTTTTTTTTCATAAGTTGGGCCCAAAACAACATGTTTTTTGGTAAGTTACCTATACCAAGCAGATAACTGGTGATGTGGTAGGGGCAGGGGTAACTTTGGCCTTGTCATGGTTGAAATATTATCTGCTGAAGGCACTGTTGACTTTGCTGTGTCCTCCTTGGAGGCAGTGGGGACAAGATAGAATAGTCCACAACAGAAGATGGCTGAAATCAGTTGGTTTCTGAAATGTTCTGGAAATGATTATTTTACATGTACTTGATTTGTTGAATAAACAAATATTATGGCTCCTGATCAGAGCTCTTCAATCTACAACAGATAAAGAAGATGGCTTGACACATCTTGGCTCCATATCATGGAGTATCTGAGAGCAGGGTTGTGAAAAGACATCTGTCTAAGATCTCGCATTGCAATCCTAAACAAAGTCACACCCTTCTAAGTCCATTGAAGTCACTGGGTATAGAAGGATTCAAGCCGGAAAACTGCAAGGACTTGCAGAGATCACTTCATGTTTGCCTGTGTCCCTGTATCACTTCTCTCTCTCTCTCTCTCCTGGCAGTTTCTGAAACTCGTCCCAGCTTCCTTCCAGTTTGGTGTAGTGGTTAAGTGCACGTACTCTAATCTGGTTTGATTCCCTACTCCTCCACTTGCACCTGTTGGATGACCTTGGGCAAGCCGTAGCTCTGATAACAGCTGTTTTTGAAAAAGAGCAATTTCTGTCAGAGCTCTCTCAGCCCCACCTACCTCACAGGGTGTCTGTTGTGGGGAGGGGAAGGGAAAGGAGGTTTTCAGCCTCCTCCTCCTCCTCCTTCTTCCCTTCCCACTCATCGACCAACCTGCATTTTATCTGCTCCTCCAGTCTGCTGCTGTAATTGTTATTTCTTTACTTCATTTATTCTCCACCTTTCTCCCCAATGGGGACTCAAAGCAGCTTACATCGTTCTCCTCTGCTCTCCATTTTATCATCAAAACAACCCTGTGAGGTAGATTAAGTATGAGAGAGTGACTGGCCCAAGGTCATGCAGCCAGCTTCCATCCATGGCAGAGTACAGATCTAAGCATAGATCTCTCAGATGCTAGGCTGAAACTCCAAGTACTTAACAGTCCCCTGGTTCTGAACTTTCCTTCCTTCCTTCCTTCCTCCTGGCAGCCTTTCTCTGGGGAAATTCTGGTGATCTTGCAAAATTCGTGTGGTAGTGAGTTGCTTCACATGCAAGTTGTGTGAAGGCTGCCCCTGGTCCCATGGGAATTGTGTGACATCAAGTTATAGCCACCACCATACTTGGGTGAGTTACACAGATTGCACACTAGCAAGTTGCCCAGTGGCCCGCCTGACCATGATGAGTCATCCCTTCAGGGCAAAAAGGAGGGCAGCAGGGGTGAACTGGGAGGCCAAAATAGCTGTGGAAAAGGATCTGACCCCTCCCCACAGCCTTTTACTAACAAAAACCAAGGCTGCCAATGTTGTTGTGGTTGCCTAGCAGTCCCAGAATGGCCTCTCAGATCTTATTTCTTAAACTTACAAGTGCTGCTTTTATTATGATTACTTTAAATTTTCACTTTTTAAAAATATTTCTGCAACCCTGGGACTTTTCTCAGGTTTGTGGAAAGAACTGTCCTATGTGTTCATGGCTCCAGGCTTTGCATTTAAGTATCGATGGATGTGGCTGTGTCGAGAATTAGACATATTGATAAATCATTTTTGAACTATAGTGGGGAGTCTGCCACCAGTAGGATTAGATGGTGCAGAGCTAGGTAATCCTGTGATCTAACACTGTTAAGACAGCTTCAAATTCTCATTGGAGAAGGGGGCAGTGGAGAACAGGTGTGAGGCCTGATAGGTCAGGAAAGGAATTGGTATTGAAGTGAGTCCCATAGGTCAGGTCCCACTTTCTGTCTTTCATTTTCTTATGCTCCACCACTACGTATTATTTGTAAGATGCGTTTGCTGGTTTAAACTTTATATTCTCCATTTTTTTAAAAAAAATGCTGTTACTTTGCAGGTACAGTGTCACTTATTTCTTTGGCTGTGCTTTCATATGAACGATATTGTACAATGATGAGAACAACCGAAGCAGATGCCACCAACTACAAAAAAGTATGGATAGGGATCTTTGTGTCCTGGGTGTACTCTTTAATCTGGACTTTACCACCTCTGTTTGGATGGAGCAGCTATGGACCAGAAGGACCAGGCACAACGTGTTCAGTAAACTGGCATTCAAGGGATGCCAACAACGTGTCTTACATCATTTGCCTCTTCCTCTTCTGCCTTGTCATTCCCTTTTCCGTTATTGTTTACTGCTATGGAAAGCTTCTGTGTGTCATGAAGCAGGTAAGTGGACTTCTCTGTTTTCTCGTCAATGTCAACGGGAGGCTAATGTAACAGCTCTAGATGAGTATCACATACCAGTAAGATGGGGATGAATGATAACAACTTGACCAAGGTCATATAATTAGTCTCAGGAGGTCAGTTAATTTCCTAAGTTACACACAGGAATAAGAAACTAAAACACACAGAAGAAAAAAACATGGGGAAAATGGTTAAATCTAAAAAAATGAGATTTTTAAAAAGCGTTTAAATAAAATCTAAGTACTAAGGGAATAACCCAGAAAGCTGGATTGTTATGCCAGTTTGGTGTAGTGGTTAAGAGTGGTAGACTCTAATCTGGAGAACTGGGTTTGATTCCCCACTCCTCCACATGCAGCTAGCTGAGTGACCTTGGGTCAGTCACAGTTCTCTCAGAGCTGTTCTTTCAAGAGCAGTTCTCTCAGAGCTCTCTCAGCCCCACCTACCTCCCAGGGTGTCTGTTGTGGGGAGGGGAAAGAGATTGTAAGCCACTCTGAGACTTCTAGTGAAGGGTGGGGTATAAATCCAACTCTTCATCTTCCTCCTCTTCCTTTAGGCTCATCCAAATAATTTGATCATGAGCAGTTGGACTTTTGTCTTTAAATGTTTGGTACATCATACTGCCCAAACATTCAGCTATTTTTGAACTTCTCCTAGCAGTTATGGAACTCATGCCTAAAGGTTATCAAGCACAGAGAATTGTGTGATTCTCTGGATTGTGGTAACTTTTGATCAGTTATCAATGGAATATAGCTAGATGTTTCCCTTCCCTTTTTCTGGTCCTCGTTATAATTTCCTAGAAAAAAACATTACAGCTTTATCCCCACCCCACCCCTGCTGACGTCTCTGGCCTAACCTGAACTGCTGGATCCCCAACACATTGTGAATTGCTATGTTGCTTCATTTTCCTAATTGTCACATCTGCTAGCTGCAGGAGAGGAGTGATGAGGATATTTGGTGGATTGTCTTAGCCAGAAATTGCAAGTAGATAAATAGGTACTGATTTTGGGGGAAGGTAACAGTGTTCCGTATGCCTCAGTGTTTAGTCATGCTGGCCACATGACCACGGAGAAATGTTCGGACAGCTCTGGCTCTTTGGCTTGGAAATCGAGATGAGCACCACCCCCTAGAGTCGGGTTCAACTGGCTTTCGAGCAAAGGAAACCTTTACCTTTTATTGCTGTAGAACAGCATGAATTTCTTGATCCCATCCAGATGTTTCCTGTTAACTTGAATATCATTGGGTACTATGTCACAGGAAACATTCTTGCTGTTTGTTAATGCCATTTCAACAGTTTATCAGGCTATTGTCACTTGTCAGTCATGTAGTTGGTTCTTTACTGCTTAGTCATGAGGAGTTTAAAAACCTTCACTTGGCTTTATAATGTTTTACCTCAGATCTTTACCTCAGCGTGCAGTTCTGGTCACCGAATCTCAGAAAGGACACTGCAGAGCTTGAAGAAGTACAGAAGAGGGAACCAAGATCATTAAGGGGCTGGAGTACCTTTCTTATGAGGAGAACCTGGAGAATCTGAAACTTTTCAGTATAGAAAAGAGATGGCTAAGTGGGGGACATGATAGAGTTTTATAAAATTATGCATGGGGTAAAGAAAGTGGGTACAGAGAGCTTTGTGTCTCTCTCCTGTAATACTCAGTCTTGAGGGCACTAATGAAGTTCTTGGAAAATAGATTCAGAACGGACTAAAAGAAAAACTTCTTTACTTGAGTAATTAAAATTGTGGAATTCACTACCAGCCGGACCCTGGACACACTGTCATTTGCTAAGCTGTTTCAATGTCCTGTTTATTGCATCCCCTGACTGCAAGCTGTGAGGATGAGTGATAGCTACAAGCATGGATGGCTTTTTAAAAAAGTTAGACACATTCATGAATAAGAGGGACATTGATGATTATGATGATTATTAGCTATGGCATCTCCAGGGAGCCTTCATCAACAGTGGCAATAAACCTCAATATGCCAGTGCCAAGAGACAACATCAGGGGAAGGCCTTGGCTTCTATGCCCTGCTTGTTTGGCCTTCCAGGACATCTGGTTGACCACTGTGTGATACAGTCTCCTGGACTAGATGGACTACTGGTCTGATCCAGCAGACTTGATTTATGTTGTTACTAGCAGTAAAGCCTGTTGTGAAAGCAATACAACGAGATCTAGAAAGAGGCTCTGGGGCAGTGCTATGGCTTTGGGCAAACAGTGTCAATTTGCTGTGGTGACCTCAGCAGGGTATAATGACAGAGTCCACTGTTTTCTCCAGAGGAACTGATCTCTGCTACCTGAAGAGCAGTTGTAATTGTGAGTGATCTGTAGCCCTCACCTGGAGATTGGCAGCAATTGTTACCCAGGACAAAATGGCTGGTTTGGAGGGTGTAGTCTATGGCATTCTACCTGTCTGAGGTCCCACCCCTCCGCAAACCCCACCCTCTCCAGGCTCCACCCCTCAAATCCCCAGGAATTTGTCAGCATGTAGTTGGCAACCCCATCTCCTTCCCAGCTAACCATCAACCTACCATTATCTGCCCCTTTGACTTCAGCTGACTTCTGCCCTCCCTTCTGCAGAGCAGTTGTAATTCTGAGTGCTCTCTAGCCCTCACCTGGAGATCGGCAACAATGGTTCCCTATGAGGGACTGACTGGTTTGGAGGGTGGAGTCTATGGCATTGTACCTGTCTGAGGTCCCACCCGTCCTCAAACCTCACCCTCTTCAGGCTCCATCCCTCAAATCTCCAGGAATTTCCCATCTGGAGTTGGCAACCCTATCAGGACTGGCCCCAATGTGTTTTCTCCCAAAGGCCAAAGTAGGTGACAGGACCAAGCTTAGTTGCCTACCAACAGGCACTGAGGGGAATGTAGGGTTGCCAGCTCTAAGGAGGGAAATACCTGGAGGTTTGGGGGGTGGATTCTGTAGAGGGCAGCATTGGGCGGGGGGGGGGCGGAAGGACTCAGCAGGTGTAATGTCATAGGGTCTACCCTCCAAAGCATCCATTTTCTCCAGGGGAACTGATCTCTGTCATCTGGAGATCAATTGTAACAGTGGGAGATCTCCAGGTCCCACCTGGAGATTGGCAACCCTAGGGGGAAGTCAGCTGCACAGCAGGGGGTTGAAGAGAATGGTTTGATGGCTGCTGGGCCAAGATTGGCAACAATAGTTCCCCAGGAGCCCCATCGTAAATGCACCAAACAATTCCTCAAGATTTTCCAAAACACTACTCTGTTGATAAATTGCAACACTTTGAATTAGCACCAAAGCTTTAAGAGCTCTCCAGCTGTCACCTGGAGACTGGCAACAGCTTGTCTGGAGTGTGGGCAGTATGGCATTGTATCTGTCTGAGGTCCCCCTCTTCCTCCTCCTCCTCAGACCCCACCCTCAGCAGGCTTCAACCCTATGTCCTTTCCAGGCAACCATCAGCCATCCTTTATCTGCCTGTCTGTCTTTATACACACACACCCCCCACAGTCTCTGCCTAGGGAAAGGGCAGTCTTTCCCTGCAGTGGGAACCAAAGCAGCTGACATCATTCTCCTCTCCCCCGTATGATCCGCACAACTACCCTATGAGGTATGTTATGGTTGAAAGTGTGTGAATGATCCATAGTCCTCCAGGCAGCTTTTAAAACATGAACCTGGGACCTGCACACCATCTGTGGCAGTAATGGGGTGACTGCTGGCACCTTTTCCTATCATTTTTTGCCTTGAGGTATTCTGCTTGTGGTGTGATCTGTCTTCTTTCTGGTGTGGCATGATTGTGTTATTGGGTTTGTTTCTTTTAAAGGGGAAGTGATGTGTTGTGAGTGAGGACATATGTTACCTCAGAATACAGTAGTTCCCATATGCAACTGAAAATTCCAACTGCCTTGCGGGGGGGGGGGAGTTTGAGGTGTGGAATGGAGTGAAGTCCAATCAGCTTCCATATGCAAAAGACCTTGAAACGTTGGGCGGGACTGCACAAAGCAGCCAGTCAATCCAGCCAGTGTCTTATGAGTGGCAGTTCTTCCGGCCAAACACTAAAGGCGGGCATTTTAGAACGTTGGTCCCCACTACTGCTTTATTATAAGGGAGAGATGTTCTCAGGTGGTGGGGAAAAGTTTAGGACATGTCTGCTCTCATATTTGAGTTAAGTTGGGCATAAATACAATGATTTAAAACTTTGCTGTCTGAATAATTAAAACCAGCATTTCCTCCCCACTGAGAAGTTAATCTGGCCTATAGGCCCCTCAAACAGAAAGTAATTTCAAAGCCCAATGGAATGATGTCATCAGGCTTCAGACAATGTACCTTCTAATATGGATACATATTATGCTAATAAAATGTAAAAGGAATATATTTGGGTTTTCAAACAGGTAACCTAGCTTTTCCTCCCCACACATGGCTATATTATTTGTTTTTACCTTTGTATATTAACAGTTTGTTTAGAGTGATTTTCCCTATTGCATGTTGATAATAGCAGCAGTTTCTCTATTAAAAGCCAAGTGTACCACCATAACACATAGCCACCAAAAATACCTGAGTCGTCTTATGCTTGCTATTACAATCAGGCACATGTTAATTGCTCAGCTTGGAGCAATCTTTAAACACAGACCCAGTGAAGTCCAAGAAATCATCAGAATGGATAAATGTGAACAACTGACACTGGAGTCATATAAGACACAGTAAAACAACAGTTAAAACTAACAAAAGCTTGATTAAAGCAACAAATCAGCCTGCCAAATGTTTGCTGTATTTGGTGGGGTTTAGACCCCCTACAAGGGAAAAGTAACATAGAATCTCCTCAGAGGTAGGGAAAGCATTTTAAAAATCATGATCCTTAACAGCATTTTCCCATTTTTCTGCAGTGAAGGAAAGTGGAGCAGGACCTACAGGGACTGACCTGTAGAAAGTGTGAAATTGATTGTACTTTGTCCTGTTACCTCCGGGGCTGCAGCATTTAAGTGGTTTCCTACGCAGTCTATTCAAAACTGTCTGAAACTCTGCCTTA